TTTGTTTAACTGTGTCTGGGGTGTTCCTGAAATACTAAGTCGGCTCCCGGGATTTAAGGACTCTTCCGATGTCCCAATCTTACACAATACGCATTCCCAACAATTAGCCAAAATATTATTTTTTCCCAACTTAATATTTACGATGAATTTTAATCCTTAGTTAAATTAGTGTAAGATTACTTTTTGGAATCTTTACAGTATATTTTCTTTAGTTTTTATTTATTATTTTTTATTGAGATGGAAATATGTTTTAAAGGTTTTGCATGGGAGCTTAAAACGAATCCAACTTGATTGTTTCGTGTGGCTTTCCTTTTATTGCAACTTGTATTTAATTTAAGCCGGCACATGTAAACACTAACTTCTGATCCATATAACATAGAACAAAGAAAAGAAATACAACATCGATAGTATAACACTATATTTAAAAAATGCGCTTAAATTAATGAAAATTCTTTCTTTTTAGCCTCTAAGGCCATAACTAAAGCGCCATTATCGAACACAATTTTACGTTTCTTGAATGAGAGCCAACAGCCAATTTAAATTACTTTGGTTGATAATAGAAGAGTTGCCTAATATAATTTGGTGAATCCAAATTCGAAAATGGGCAATGTTTTGTTTTCATCTTGGAAATCTATGAACTGCATTTTTAAAAATTGAATTTCGAAGCTATCTCCATTAAAACCCTTTTAAGTCTCCTCTTCATAGTAGCTGTCTAAACCAGGTTTCAATTTCTGTAGATGTAATGTCGAAGGTAATATCTATAATGTAATATGTCTATAAAATTAATTTATAAGCGTTTTGTTTATTATGTAAAAACAATAACAATAAAAAATAGGAGAATGATTATAAATTTGTAGACTAGTTAGAACGGTAAATTTATTTCTCCCCTAAATTATTTCTTTTTCAAATGAAAACAATAAATAATATCGTTTTTATTCCAAATTATTAGAATGGCGTCAATTTTTTTGATGGTATTTGAATATTCGAAGACCTTGCGAATAATAAAAGTCGACGGGGGTTTTGCTGCCAACTCTCCCGGCGAATATATATGCAGCCGGCTTAATAACAGGTTTACTGCCATCCGCATTATCGTGGCCGGATCCACCCGCCCCTAGAGTACAGTCTCTCATAAAGAATCAAATTAATTCATTGACACTGCGGATAAAACAGGTGACCGGATCGATTTAAGGTTTTATAACGGGAGGAAATAGCCTCTTCCGAACGGGCCACCAGATGACAATGACCCATTTCTTAACCGGCTAGGTTTACAAAAAAATCCTCGACGGTCATCAACGGGTTTCCACACCGTTTAATTCAAGTGAATGCAATTTGCTCTCCTTTTAATGACGGCCCTCTCTCAAGATCGGCGTTTCAAATGTCGCTACATTAATTTTTAATGAATTCATGGGATATGAAAATAAAGGGAGTCTTAGCGTGAAGGATCTTTATGTATCATTAAAAACCATATTTTATTATCCTATATTCTTCACAATACCTTTTTTTTACTTATTTGTTTAAATTTTTAAAAAATTAACCAATCTATGTCCCGTATATCTGCAAAAGTTCACAACATATTTATGCATACTTAAGAAAAGCACATAAAAAATAACCGTTGAATGGCTTTCAAGCATAAAATAAACAAAAAATATCTTACTTTTGTATCATTACATCGAGGAAAGTTGCTGTTGAAATGAAGTATTTGGCCAGAATACTTTGACTCTTGCAACTTGTTGCTCGCGGCAAAAATAAGTTTTAAACAAACAGGACGAGAATGTATAACCAAATTTTATAAACTCAGTTCTTATCATTGCTTTATTGAAACACTAGTTGAAAACTAACGTAAATGGTTCTTGAATTCTTAAAAGAAACATATAAGGAAGTAAGGTTGCTATTTTTTTTACATATAATGAAGTAAGAACAATATTTTTACATAAAGGTAAAAATATACATAAATGCAACCAATCATAATAAAATAATTCACTTTTGGGAGTCATGTTTATTTCGCTACTGATTAACTAGTTTACATTTTACGAAGTGGTCATCTAATGGGTCCGTCTTCACTCGCGAGTTTTTTGAAGAACTAAATGGCGTTTCGGCATTGAGCCATCTTCAGTGAGGAACTGTCTGTCCGTTTTCCGAGTGGACTTATATGTCGTTGAGTCCATCGGTTGTCGCTAGGGGCGTTTGTTGAAGGTGAATGGTCATGTGTGTGTTTATTGTTGGTAATGATGTCGGCTATTATTTGAGGGTTGTTAGGTTTTAGTGTACTGTTGGTTTCGAGATTGTTTTCTTCTGAACGATTGTGTTTTTTGTTGTGTAGTATTTTTAATGATAATAATTAAAAAATAAAATTAAAAAACCTCGGAAAAAGTACAGCCCCAAAATTAGCCGACTCGCAAACCAACACCCAGCATCAATACAGTTTATCTTTGGTTTTATATATTTTATTAAAAGGATTAAATTTAACAGGGCATTTTTTGTGTTGACTAACAAAAATGTTGCTTTTGAATAATATATGTTGTAGGAGGTTTATGCGCCAACTGGAAGCTAAGGCGATCGCCGGCTCTCTACCTGTTTTCACTTCTTTTTCTTGTCTTTCAGGCATATTTTTAAACTGGAGCCATTTGATCGTCTCGTTCTGTTACTGACGCACTGCAATTATACGTAAAGTATGTCGTTATCTCAAAATTCTTCAGGTTGTTTACTATCAAATAGAAACGAAGCACAAATATTTAGGAATGACATTGGTACACCCGATGACGCCGCTTGATTTGACATGATGTGGGCTAAGTCAAAACGTAGTCGTGTTCCGAGTACAAGCGCTCTCTCACAACAATCGCTCGACGAGCTTCCAACTGCTAACTGCGCGTCTTTTTGACGACTCTTCCACAATGAGTACTTCCCTCTACTCGGACTCCAACCAAACTCCACCAGAAGGCGTGAGCGTCTGGACCGCCTTAATTTGAAAGATTTGTCCTCTCTCACAAGTATATATAGAGACGGCGACCCGAGTCTCCAAGCCGGAATTCCACGGCAAGGCGACACTCAGCAACACACCAGTACTTCTATATGAGAGTTCAGACGTACAGTCCAGAAACCACCGAACCCCACCGCGGACAACACGGGGCATTTTCCGGCAAGCGTAGCCCATGAACAAGTCAGGCATTACGAATTAGGGTGAACGAGTAGTGATTATCCTGCATCACCCTGTACATATATTATAAAACTAACCTAATTGAGGGTCGATGGTGTTCTCAATATTCAGCCACCCACCTTTCATGGCACACTGCTAAGTTGTTGAAGAATTAGATTATGTAGAAATATTTGATGTGAGGAATGTAATGATTGTTTTATGTTTTGTCTGATGTGATAATGATATATGCATGTATTGATATTGAATTTGATTAATGATAAGAGTAGCTGCGACTGGGTTTACATGTGTCTTTTCTGTAATTGTTGCTGTGCTTATCTCTGTTGATGGCCATTTCTAAAAAGTTACGTTTATTTTTCTTTTGTTCTATTTTCTACATAGTCTAATTCTTCAACAGTTTAGCTTTTCTTTTCCCTAATTATCCCCGTCTATATAATCCAGAAAGGGTAATCGGACCGAACCATTACCCATTTTTTCCCACTGTCGGCTCCTTTTACTTCAAAGAAGCCGACTCCTCATATAAAAATGTTTTCTGTCCCAACTGCCTTTCCAACCCCTTCAAAATCCAAAGTAAATAAATATAAAACATCAGTATCTCACTGGCACTCTCAACACGACACCCAACAATGACACATCTACAAAACAAAAATTTGAGTGAGTACAAATACTTTGATTGAGTCTAAAATTTCTAGCATTGTATAAATTAACTTTTTTCCACATCCTACATGTATTTGTATAATTTAAACAATGTTTATAAATCCCAGGCCCTGAGGATGATCTCAATAAAGATCGAAACGTTAACACGATAAAGAAAATGGTTTTCTAAAACGTACGTCACACCAGACGGCAATTCACGGTCTCCAAATAATCATTAACTAACGGCCACTAAACACCACACACACACACACACACACACACACACACATTATATATTTAGTTTAAAAAATATAGAAAAAACTTTTTTTTTCTGAAACGCGATAAATGTTAAGAAAGACAATGACTGGCAAAAGAGACGTGATAGTTTGCATTAAAACACTTTTCGTAATTATCATGACGAGTAATCTTTTGTGTTGGCGTACTGAATACATTTGGCACGTTTGGATTACCTAGAAAATACATTTTGAATATTTATAATGCAGGTTAGGCTCGGCTTACAGTTTCCTTCGGACGTTGATCGGCTCGGATATGAAAATCTTACGGTTGATTTGCTTCCTTTAGGAGGATCTTGTCGAAACTCTCTTTTCTCCGGCTTGATAAGAATAAAAATGGATAGGCCGGACCGAAAGGCGTTTCGGATCGAACCGGGGCATTCGTTTTATGACGACCTATTCCATCATCTATAGAATATTCGTAATGAAAACTGCTCAAATAGGGGAGGACGATTCAGTTTGCCTTTCGGTCATCGGCGGGATCGATACCCTTTTATCATCGATATTCACAGATAATAAAATAATATCGAGAGCCGAGCCAGGCTTTTAATAATAAATTTAATCATTTGATTAAAAATTTATATACATTTTACCTACTTGAACCACTACGCCCGTTCATTATCACGCCGGCAGGCCGAATTGAACGCGCATTAATAACTTCTAAGTTGAGTGTTGAACCATTATTTTCGTTTATAGCCCTTTAAAAATTTACTATCAATTTGAAAGCGTTCTTTGTTCGATTTCTTTTCATGGATTTCTGTAAGCTATTGTTATAGCTTTGAACGTTTTATTACCTGTTTACAAAGCTACGTTGTTATTCTCCTTTTAATGGGCCAATGAATTTTTTCTTTACGAATTAATTATTTTAATTATATATTACAAAGGAATAATTATTTTGTAGTATATGAGAGACAATAAGTTTTAGTTTAATTTAAAGTTGTAGAAAAAGTGTATAGACTGGGACGGATCCGATTCGCGCGGCGGACGTTGAGTCAGTCTTGTTCCAACGCTGGGAAGATGATCGTGGCCGTCTTGCTGATTCTGGGTGAGTGTCTTGTTCCTCTCAGACTGAGTAGTTTATGCAATCCTGTATTCGTAGAATAGTTTTGGGGAACTGTAACACCTGTAGATAGGAACCATGCCCTTACTGTAAGTTTATGGGTAATCTTGGAACCTGCGCTTGATAGGAAGCCCCGTATACCCTTATTGTATAATCGACAAGGAACAAATTCATTTATGTAATTTCCTTAAAGCTAATAAAATGTTAGGATAATAAGTAGTAGTTAATTGGTTTCCAAGGGCCAACCTAACATGTTTTACACTAAAATTGTTATTTTAATTTTATAGACATTGATTAATACATTTTTCTTCCAGATTAATTTTTAATGTGTGGGAATTAGTGACCGTTAATCGATATTTATTTAGAAATCGTGAGATGCGGTCTGGTGTGATGTATGTTTCAGAAAAACATTTTCTTTATCGTGCCAACGTTTCGATCTTTATTGAGATCATCTTCAGGGCTCAAAGTGTTTGTGACAAAAGAGTGCCCTCGACATGACACGCAAGAATGGCACAATTACACAGGAGACAAACACTTTGAGCCCTGAAGATGATCTCAATAAAGATCGAAACGTTGGCACGATAAAGAAAATGTTTTTCTGAAACATACATCACACCAGACCGCATCTCACGATTTCTAAATAAATATCGATAAATATTAATTTTTAAAATAATTAATAAAAAGTGCAAATTTTCTCGAGAAAATTTCGATTTAATTAAACAATTAAAATATATATTGTTTAATTACAATCATACAAGACCGCATAGCGCGATCTCCAAATAATCGTTAATTAACGACCACTAAATACAACACGTTTAATATAGTTCACATTATACAATTCCTAAAAGTTTTCATGAATCCCGATTCTGAAAAATGTATGTAGGTTTGGTGTTCCAACGTAACCATATTTAGTTGTTTTATTTACGTACAAGCAGGAATGGCAGCTAGAAATACAGCAACCTTTTGCACCGTTACTTCAATACAGCCACAGGGACTGGGTAAAGACAGATATAGAATGTGGTTATAAAAAGTATATATTATGGTTAACTACCTGTTTTTCATAAAATTGCTAATGTAACACTTTACGGCCAAATGATGTCTTAGAGAATGACAAACATTTAAGTTTTGATCAAAGGTTAGTGGGAAACCCGCGCATTTAGTGATAGGGCGTTTAGATTTGCGCCAAATAAATTTAAATAGATGGACAGAAACATAGCAGGAACAGCACTGCAACCGCACTAAAGGCACTCGATATCCTGCTAACCTCAAACAAAATTGCTAAAGGTGGCATTGATCTGAAGCAATTTTGGGCAAATAAGGGTTAAATTGTAAACTGGATATAAAATAATGTTAATTGGCAAATATAACAATCGATACAAGAAGCAGTGTTAGGGTGAAAAGCGGAAGAAAGAAGGTTTCAAGATGGAGATTTTTGATTTTTTGAATGGTACCAAAATCATTAATATTGCCAATACAGGGTTGAAACATTGAAGGAAAAACACTACACCCGCCAAAATTTCATGGGCTTAGCGACGTTTTAGCAAATTTGCTACATTTGGTGTTGTCCTGAGGCAACATTGGGCAAGAAATAGTTAAAAGCTCTTTTTCTTATAAGTTTTTGACACTTTTCCTCATCAATTTCATTTAAACTGCCCCAAATCTCTCTGTGGTTTACTTTGACCGTTAGAGCTTCTACAACTATCAGGTCCTCAGCATTTGCCGAACCATCATCATATCAATCAAGCGACAATCCATAACAACGGCGACTTTGTTTACAAGCTTCCAACATACGACTTTAGCTGAACTACTACAAATTCCCTGGGAAATTTATCATTAGTGGCAGAATCCGCTATGTAAAAAGTCTATAAATAGCGACGTCATTACTTGCGAGAGGTTAAATATAACGGTGACTTTGAAATAGCGAAATTGTTGTGCAAACTCTCTCTACTGTCAACATTTTTGTGTAACGATTTTTCAAAAATAGCTTCCAAGGACAAATCCTGGGTAAAGGCTAATATTAAATAAAGAGGTATATTAATTTGCTGTCTGCATATGGCTAATAAATTGAGTTAAAAACTAACCAGATGCTGCATTGCGAATGCATATAACACCTGAAATGAGACGGTACGCGTGGCAATATGATTTATTTAATTTCGACGTATTTACTTACCCCCGGGGCAAGATTATCTTCGATATCACCGGCAGTCCAGTTATACTTCGAGTGTAGTCAATTGTACTGGATCATTTATCTGGTTTCAACCGGTGATTTACCGCGGCAGACCCTCCTGTACACCCTCTAAAATTTGTTGCCCCCGGTTTGTCTCATCACTGAGATATTAAACGTGCTCTATTTAATCGTTTTGCTCTGCCCCTCTTTAGACTGATGAGTTCAAACTTTTCGGGCAATACAAATAAACTTTTTAATTAGGCAAAATGAAGGATTTGAATTATAATCCTTGAGCAAACTGAAAACGGGTATTGTTTCATATTTTTATGTTTCATCAAATCAATATCTTTCCAGCCAATTTTCCATCCTTATTTTGGTAACCCAGTTTGTATAGATTACGTTTAATTGTTTTCATTATGTTCCTAATTTTTGTACAGTCAGTGATACTTTTCTTAGTTGGTCTATCATCTATTCTACTGGTGCCATGTTGATTCGGCTTGTATGATGTTTTCGGTTTGGTTTTCTTATTTTAGGAAATTTATGCGATGTTTTCTATTGCTGCCACGAATCATAGGCTTTTATGAAATTAGTTTAGTTATGCCTATACATCTGCTTTATATTTTTTTAGTTATTCCATATTTAGAAGGCAGTGAATAAATATTCAGTGAAGTGGGAGAATAATACTGATTATCTGGTCCCCACAATGTATATATGCAAATACTTTAAATATATCTATGTTCATCAAATTACATATTATCCGTTGTCTATATTATGTTTGATAGTTGTTGTGCGTATTTGTTGACACCGTTTTTTTAGTGGTGATATCAATTTGGTGGTACATCTTTGTGATGGGTTCCTGGTTTTGCCCATCTACCGTTCCACCCATGGGATCTGCCATAATTTAGATTAGGTTGTTAATATTGTGGGTAGGCCAATAAAGGAATATCAAGTACTCCACCGCTAACTAGATAGATTGCAATGTTCATAGATGTGAATGTATTTATTTGCGCGATTGTCTTACCGAATTTAGTTAGTATTAGGCTAGATTTCATCAAAAAAAGGACATCAGTCCGGATTGAAGTTAAATATGCATGTGAATAAATAAATACCGCAATAGGTAGTACAGGACTAATTCAGTTATGAAAAAATCACATACGAAACTAAACGAACTCGCGATCTTCAGATCAATATTACGATGCTCTAACTACTTGAGTCGTAGCCCATGCCTCACATTTCTCATCTCGATTTCTGATTTTATTCCAATTGTAAGCAAACTGCGCTTTATATAGAAGCACATACCGATTGTACCACATTAGCAGGACTATGCACACACAAATATGATTCCAGGTTTAAAAAACAATTCTTATTTGTATAATCATTTTTATATTTGAAATTCATCTATAACACAGGATTCACGGTAACTCAATTTGTGTACAGCATCGGAGTATTAATCCCGTGGGTTCGAATTCTACCTGGACTCAAATTTTTTATTTCGCAAAAGCGTATACAATAAAGATTATTCAGAAATCGTGAGATGCGGTCTGGTGTGATGTAGGTTTCAGAAAAACGTTTTCTTTATCGTGCCAACGTTACGATCTTTATTGAGATCATCTTCAGGCCCTGGGATTTACAAACATTGTTTAAATTTAACAAATACATGTGGGATGTGGATATTTGTAAATCCCAGGCCCTGAAGATGATCTCAATAAAGATCGAAACGTTGGCACGATAAAGAAAATGTTTTTCTGAAACTTACATCACACCAGACCGCATCTCACGATTTCTGATTAATCTTCGACTAATGGTCACTAATCACCACACACGTATATAATAAATTTGAATATATATGTTAACTATTACAGTTTCATTATTTTATTTTACCATCAAAGTCTATAATTTCTCGTCACCTAACATATTTGTAATTAATATCATGAACAAACAAAATTGCACTCGCGCATAAACAAATTATTTGATTCTTATTATCATTTAATTATTAATAAATTAAATTAATATTATATCATTTAAAAGTGTACAGTCGAGATCTGTAGAGGACACTTATAAAATGTATGAGTTATTCTACATCATGGACGTGATGAAAGATTACTTGAATAGTAGTACCGACTTTCATCTTCATCAAATTACGTAGCCCAATTGTTAATTTTGCGTAAATGCTGAAAATTACATGGCGCCACGGCTGAGAATATTGATAAGAAAAATAAGTACCTGTTCAATCGTGTTAGTTAAAGAAAAGTGACGGATCTAAGAAAAGAAAGTAAGTAAAAAGGGAAAATGTGAGTGAAGGGTAGCCAGTGCATAATGATATTGAATTAGACATTCCAGGAAGACGCTTTTTTTCAGATGTAGAAGGGTATGTGAGAGTGGGTATAAAAAATATAAAATTCATTGGTATCAACTCACTTTCATATGAAGTATATTAGAGCGCCCTCCGAAAAACTGGGCGTCTTCCTGAAAACCAACACATCCTTTTAATGGTTTTGCCAGGTATGGTATTGGGTTGTCCGGAAAATAATGCAGGATTTTGGTATTAAACAAAAAAAAAGAAACTAGTTACTTTAAAGCTATGTTCTTTAATCAAAATAATTTCCCATACTCTCAATACATTTCTCCCAACGTGTTGGTAACTTATTAATTCCGTCTGAGTAGAATTCAGAATTTTTANTGACATTCATACAAATGAGTAATCCTGTAAACGTAAACAGAATATTTTATATAGATTTTTTTTAATGAAAACTTAAAATCCTGCATTATTTTCCGGACAACCCAATACAATTGCTAAATGTCTAATACGGGATATATC